AGATTTTATGTGATCAGACAGAGGATAAAATGCTTGAGAAGATGAAAAGTCTCTCATATCATTTTCACTCATGATACAAGTAATCTCATTTAATCTCCTTTAAGAGAAAGGAATATACGCTATTTTGTTGTGGGTAGATTTAATGCGAGATGGTTCAATATAGATTTCAGACTAGTCTCGAAATTTAATATCCTCACTTTGCACAAGAGTTTCACATGTGCGAAATATTTGTTCAAAGTTTCAAGAAGTACTTGATAACTAAATGGGAAACAGAGATTTATCCTTTCAGAGAACTATTAATGGTTAAAACGATAGGGATAAATATGAAACTCATTTGTCTATTAGATATTTTCTCACACGTCTATTGGAGCCAACTTTAATCTATGTGATGAAGAGTGTTTCCAAGTCTTCAACTCTGACATGCAGATCAATTTCCTCCCTGTTGTATTATTTGAGAGGGAATTATGGCAAATGATTCGGTCAATTTTCGTAATTTTCCCTGATTATTATGAAAATGACAAGAAGTGTGCTTGTAATTCACAACTGTGACGAATAGGAATTGTGTATAGTTTTCAACTTGTGTGTCTTGTATGGGTAATAAAAAATTCTTGAGTTTCCTTTGCCCTTGAAGGTTAGGATATTATGTAGTTATAGCAATACGATTCCACCTCAGCTCAGCACACTCTTGAGTTCAATAATAATGAAAAGAAGAAGAAAAAAAAATGATTGAAATAAAACAAGATTTGGGCGGCGATATTTGAGTCACTAGGCGGAGCTACTTATAATAAGATAATCGTCATTTCTTGCACATAGTTTGCCGCATATTTTTGTACATGTGTAGACAATCGGTGGCGACATCTCAGAACCACCATGGAGTGGTCGGACGAAAGACGTGAAAAGACAACGAGAAATGTATTTAGCCGCGCGAGAGAGAGAGATCTTCCGAACACCCACAAAGATGCGCGGAGAAAAGCCAGTGAGAAAGAGAAATATGAAATAAAGGAGAGGAGAAGTAAAATATAATTTAAGCAGCTATTTGCGAAGAAGAGATCAATTTTCTCAATGTATTGACTTCATGATGTTTCTATTTCATAGCCATAAAATGTCTTGCTTCTGTCCTAAATTCCTTTCCTATCCTAAACAACGCGGGTGATCTTCTGTCAAATTGCAAATTCTATTATTAAGTCTATTGTATTGTATTAAATGCAATAAAAAAAAGGGAGAAGCGAAGGAGACGAAGAAATGCTCTTGATCTTAAAGGGTCTAATGCAGCCTCTTCTCCCCCTTTTTGGTTACAATCTCCCATTGGTGACTCAATGTATGGCTTTTGAGTTCCACTTTGAGTATTCACTTAAAATTTGATTAAATAAATTTACTCAGTGTTAGAAGTTAAACATAAATTAGTAATTTCCTCAATTAAATCGCGCTTCTTTTTATTTTACCCACTTGACTGGACTTTATTGATGACATTGGCAAATATGTTGCTCCACTTAATATTTCGCACACATTATTTTTTTTTACCACATGCTTAATGTGGTGTTTTCTTCTGCGCGGGAACAAAGAATATGCCCAAAAACGCTTGATAACGCGCGTGCGAGAAGGAAATCTCAGAAGTTCTGTCATTTATAATGTTCACATCACAATTGCAATGCATATAAAGATTTACTCACTCTCGGGAGCGATAGAAAAAAGCAAGTAGAAAGGAGCCGCTTTCTTGCCCATGTTTATTTACTTATATGAAAATGACATTGACTCCCTCTCGCCTCTGTTGCGCGCGGGTCTTTTTCTCTTAAACAACTTTTTGAGTCATATCAAAAGAAAAAAAAATTGACCGATGGACGAAGCAATAAAGCGAAGGAGCCGCGAAGTAGTGAAAAAAATTATTGACTTTTCCTATTAATCAAATACAATAAAATAAAGAAAACAGAGTGTGTGCGAGGGAAAAAGAGTCCGCTGTTTGATGACACCACACAGACACTTTTTCTGGGATAACTTTTGGCGGTGGAAAGCAAGTGGAAGATTCTTCAAACATGATTTAACAATTATCACAGCTTCCAAGTTAGACTGTACAAAATGAATTTTGGGACATAACATTTAAATGACGTACTCATGTCAATTTCGGCTGAGTGGGTAAATAATTTACAATATATTTATTGTCTAAGAGTGTGTTTGTCATGCGTTTTTTTGGGCACCGCTATTTTGCTGAATTCATTTTTCTGTGTATTGTTTTACTTGTTTCCAAAATATCAAACGCCGCGCCACATTATTAATATGGACTTCTTGCAAGTTTTATTATTCTATTGTGCCCCACCTCTTCTATGATAATAATGTCAGAAATTGTAACACGATTTATTTAGACATTCTGTAATCGCATGTTTGCTGCCTTTTTTTCCTCCTCATCATCTCTCTGTGGTCTAATCTCTCGAAATCAGTCTTTGGTGTGAGTGTTAAGAACAAAACGCGTATCTTAAAGAGGTGTATAATTATATATTCACTTCTGTGGCTTCTTTGCATTCTACCTTGTACACTTGTGGCTGAAGTAAAAAGAGTCATCATGGTAATCATGTTATTAAATTGATGCTATTAATGTTACTTAATGTTGCACTTGATGCAAGAGATGTAGAAAAAAGAGCTCACGCTCTAGACTTTTATCACTGTGTACATTTAGTTAGTTATAATACAGATAACCAATTTAGTTTATCATCAATACTCTTCAATACCCAATGGCTGATTAATTCCCTTCCAACGGTTACACTGAGAGAAAAATCGGACTAGAATTTAGTCGATTTCGACATAAATTCAAGAATAATCAGGTTGAAAACTGACTAACGAAGATTTTCATCCAGATTTTCAAACAAAATAATCCAACTAATTCAAGGAAAAGAATAAATTCAAGTCTTTTTCTTCCCTAAAATTAACCTTCTTCATGCTAGAACACGATCAAGACTTTTCGTTCCTCGATATTAGACTCAATTCTGGGGCGAACTCTAAATTGCTTGGAAGAAAACATTGGAAAACACCTTGGTTTTAGTCTAAGAGTGCAGAAAAATATCTTACTTCTAGCCTAGACAAAAGTTTTAACCAATTTTCTTCGCGAGCGCATAAAACTAGGAATACAAACAGAATAATCTCTTCTTAATATATCACTCCAAGATTCAGGCTAATTTCTCTGAGTGTTCAATACCCAATTGCCGATTAATTCCCTTCCAGCGATCATAGACAGAAAGTAAGATAGCCTGAAGATGAACCTTGAGCTTCTGTGCTCCCCTAATACTACAAGGCGTTATGTGTGTACTTTTTTTCTCCTTCAGTGTCGGTGCGGTCATTGATGAAGGAAAAAGTATCTGTCACAGACACTCATGAGACGATCCCTTTATATTTGTCCGCATGTCTCTTTTTTTTGCTGCCCGCCTGAGTCTCTTTCCCACCCATTACAGTGTGGTGATGAGTGTGCGATGATAATCAGCAAAAAAGGAGATCTTTTATGTTTATGCGGTTTTCGAAGCCGAATAGTCTAGTTTTAATGTCGAGTGGTTTTCAACAAAAAGATTAAATTTGTTGATCCTTTTTTGTTGTCTCCACTGGAGAACTCAATTCGTTAAGGTCTGCCTGTTGTCCTGGGCTTGCGATTATGCTTGCAGGGCTATTTTGATGCTCGGCAGCACCTTTCGTATTAATCTAATAGGCAAATGCACGCACATTTTCTAAAGCCCAGAGACAAGAATGCGCAATGTTACACGGGGAAAATTAGAGCTGTATATTTTTCAATGTGATCAATTGATCATGATTTAGAATTGGAAAATTATGAGATTGTTTCGCAATCTGGCAGAAAGAAGTGGTTCCATGAGAAATCCAGATTTATAATAACATTTTATAGCATTTGTTCTTTAATAAATAATTCAACCAGTTATTTAAGTTCTAGCGAGACTTTCTCAATTGTGTCATTTCTGGGAAAATAATCAAATATTAAGGGAGTATATTATGCAAAAGCATCTCTTAATGAACACTTATGTAGAAGGTTGAATGTGTCCTCGAGACGGTGTAGCAATAACAATGAAAATCGCGCATAGATGAATGATTATATCTTGAAATAGAGATTCAAGTGTCGGGGGACCGCGCAAAGAGATTGCGGATGATCGAAATAGGTGTGATTAAAAGGAGGAATTCCGCGGGGTATTGTGATGGTGTTGATGGTGAGGCTCAAGTGTCGCTAAACATCAATAAGAAAAATTATGCAAGAAAATTGCGATGATCAAATATAGCGCGCAAAAGTGAGTGTTATGTACAAAACTCTCAAAAGGACTCTCGAGTACAATGGCACGGTTTATGGCCTGGGATTTCTTTCCAAAGGGTGTTGCCGCGAATTTTCTTTCCTTTCTCACTCTTGCGATGGCGTTTCTTGAGTGCAAAACACAAGATCTTGTGCTTGTTCTTTCGGCGGCTTTTGGTTAATTTTGCCGGGGAAATTTTTTTCTTCTTAATTTTTGAATAAAATAATAACAAGACACTTTAGATGTGTGAAATCTTATTTTCACCCTGTTTGAAGTGAAAAGTGATGTCTGCATGTGGAGAATATTGTAAAATTCACCCCTTATTCAACGGCGTCTCTAGAGAGATCGAAAGAGAGCGGCGAATGCGAATGCGGGAGCGAAAACGGGAAGGATTTTCGTACATAGCTAAAGGGTAGAAACGTCTAAGGATCAATAACTGCATATTCACACTAATTTGATTTAATGTATCCCCTTTTACAAACGGTATATCGTTGGTTTTTTTTTTGCCTTAAACCGTGCGGGTTCATGGAATATTCTTGCGTACATTTCGTTTCTCCACACGCGCGCTGTTGGGAAAAGTGGACGTTGGAAGAAGTGGGAAAAGTCATGAAAATTTCATTCTGGAAACTTATCAATATTTCTCCACAAAATGGTAGATGAAAAAAATATTACTTAATATTGAATATAATCTAAGTAATAATAAAAGATTAGATAACAGATACAACGTACAGTACTTACAAATCCATGTTTGTCGCTTATATTGTTTGTTAATTTTAATTTGTGAAATGATACTACTTTCTGCATCCACTGTTCGCCAGTTGACGGTGAGTCAGGATGAATGTACATCCGTTTTGGCATTTCAGGATCAGCTTTTCCAGCTACCATCCATCTACTGAAGAAAGCAAAGAATATATTGTGAGTGTCCAGAATGTGCGTGGGTTTTTCTCTCTCATCAGAGATCTTCTTTTCATTTACCTGTTGTGAAATTTGTAACGATAGTCATCTGCAGCAACAATATCCAATAATAAAATATATTTTGCCTTCGTATCTAATCCGGATACACGGAATTTCATTTGAGGAAACATTTGTCTGCAAAAGAAGAAGACCAAAAATTTAAGAAGCACTTACTTTTTTCATCTTATTATACGCTCCTCTTATGTAGGCATTAGAAAAAGGAAAAAAGACATGATCTTTTCCTTCTTTTCCTCTCTCTCTCTTTCTTAATTCTATGTTAGAGAGAAAAATTGGAACAAAACTTTTCCCTGTCATTTAACAAGAAAAGAAATAATTTCTGAAGAGATATCAATCGAATTTTCTCAAGCATTAATTTTTAAACTGCACACTGAGCATGAACCACTTTTAAACATGCCACTGACAGACATCTTCATATAATCCCTTTTTGGGTTTTTTTTCTCTGTTCAATACTTTTATCTCATCTCCTCAACTATTACTTCTCTAGGCCTGAAAAAGAAAATATAGACCGAAAAAATGTCTGAATTTGTGCCATTTTTCCCTCTTCATTTCGTGACATAACTTCTTGGCCAATTTGTCATGGTGACAATTTAATCTTACACTAAGTATTTTGGGCAATTGTTTAATCCCAATTTGAGTGATAATTGTATTTTTCCTTTCCTTTCGAGGCTGGATTAATGCAAAGCGGAAAGACGCACGCGGTATGAAATTAATATCAATTTTGGGGTGTTATTGATGCTTAAAAGCTTAAGAAATGTTGAGCACTTTGAACTCCGCTAAACTGTTTCGCTAATCGCAATATTGGAGGCAAAAGGAAAGGATGAAGAGAGTGAGGCTGAGTTGGGTGGAAATGCTCTCTAGTACGAGTGAGACGGGTTAAATATGAACAAACACGGAGGTTTACAATCAAAGAGACCACCATGCTCTGACTCTTGCATCGCAATTCATATTCTCCCATTCTGCCTCATGCTTCTCACTTTTTATTTCTTCTCTATCTCCTTGCGTAGCAATATTTTTACAAAGTTATATTTTTTTCCGAATAAATGTACGCCTGATGTCTTCGCTTTTTTTTTTCTTACACACATATTTAAATGCTGGAATAACAAGACTTGAGCTGCACACTGTGGCTTTTGAAATATGTATGCAAAATATTTCTGGCGGATATTTGCCCGGTATTTCTTGTACAAAAGGTGGAGGAAAAGAAAAATTCTAAGAGGGCCGGGCCATATGTAAATTTATGATGATCCAATAGGACACATTTGATTGAAATTGGATTTTTATTATCTCAACATTTACGCGCTCGATGGCAATCAATTCCACTTGACAATTTAGCATCCGTATCAATTATTTATAAGAATTTTGATTGCACGTTTTCATCCATCGAATTTATATTGGGGGAAAAATATTTGTGTGCAATGCAAGATATTTTGAGTACTTTTCGAAATTATTTATTGAAATATTATTATATATGATTGCAATTTGTTGCAATGCAAAAATAATTCGCTAGATTTGTAACGTTCACAGTGAATATGTCTTAATTCACACTCTCAGTGGGAAATGCATGAGAAACTAATAAAAAAGCAGCATTTTATGGTTGGATGTGTTGAGTTGTGAGCGGATTGGCATGTTCGCTTCATGATTTTAGCGACGGCAAATGCATCATTTTCGTTGATTCGCGATGAAGTTTGCTTTTCAACGAAGGAGACGGTTTTTACCAAATAAAGAATGATGCATTTGAAGATGTGTGAGATGAGCTATTATCAATTTCTATTATCGGGCAATTAGATAGACATTTGTCTGGATGATTTGATGCGATTTTTCAACTTTTTCCTTTGAGGTAATTTCACGGATTTTTCGAGCACTTTTCGGGGCTCGTGGCGATTTCGCAGTTCGGCAAAGGTTCTATCAAAAGTTAATGAGTGAATCTGCAGCCTCACCTTCCGCTCTTGGTGATGACCATCTCGGTGCCCAGCTTGTGGAACTTCTCCCACAGATCCTTGCCCTCGAGCGTGACCTTGGGGTCGTCCACGACGCCGTCGTCATCCGGCTGGATGGAGCGCAGCGGCCGCATGGCGGGATGGAGCTGGTGGGCGACAGAGGCCAGGACCACGTCCTCGGCGGTGGTGTACTGGGTGTTGAGCTGGTGGTGGACGTGCGGATGGGGCGCGGCGGTGAGTTTTGGCAGGATGGCACTGGGATAGAGATGCGAATGGGGCGTCTGGCCGGTGCCCGTGAGGGCGGCCAGGGCCGCCGCCGGGAAGTAGCTGGATGGCGGTGATCCTTGTCCCTGGAGTGGTGCACCAGCTGTCAGCAGCGACGAGACGCTGAAGTCAGTGGGTCGGGACAGTTGCAAGAATGGATGATAAGCCATTCCTTTGGCAGAATTGCTTATTCTGACAGACTGATGTGGTTCTATTATATCGTATCTCATCACAGATGAACCCAATAAGGATTTAGCACAAACTCTCTTTTCCTGCTTGGGTCAGAAAATTCACCTTTTGCCAACGCACTATTTTTTCCGTTCCGATATCTTTGTCATTACTCTGCGTGTCTGCGAATTTGGATTATTAGAGCGCACGTCTGTCTAAGTCTTGAGTTCGTTATTCTTCTAGGGGCAGTTTTCTTATTCTTTTTTTTTATTTAGAATATGCCTGTGTCAATTTCTACACATTTTCACACCAATTTCCACTGCAATGACTGTCACACTCCTGACGCACACTTTTGTTAAATCACAGATTTGCTATAAATTCACATAGTCTCGCGGAGCGTACGCACAGGAGATTTGCCGCAGTATCACTGGGAGCTGTTAACCCTTTTCCATCTCATCCACATTTTAGTGCCACTCCACAGTACCTTTGTTGCAACACACGGAACCATTTTAATGATTTACACACTGTGAGTTGCAAAAATTTTCTGCCTGTTAACAGAGTTTTTGATTTATTTCCCTGAAATTATTTTCCTCTCTATTTTATATTTTTTTTTTCTGTTATTTTTCTCTTCACAAAATTGTACACACGCACGGGGAAAAAATCGGTGCAGACGATGCACTAGGATAGGGAGAGAGTGGAGTGTAGAAAAAAAAGGGAAACGAGAGAGATTGAACCGAAATGCAAAAATATGCGCAATGTTGAGGTGGAAACAACTGCGTGGCGCGACAAACGGACACACTATAAACCTTAATGCCGGTCGGTAAGAAACTGGTTAGCACATCAACAATATTTCCTGTATTTGTTGTCTGGTTTTTGGTGTCTGCAATCACACCTCGGGGTGTCAAGCTGATGCCGACCGCACCCGTTTCTAGCCACTCCCAGAATGTGTTATAATCGACGCGGATTGGCGTGTCTCAACCAATGGCAATCTCTAAAATCGTCACACTCACGGTGCCAGAGTTGTGCTTTTGTCGAAGCTCACTTTTTTTGTTGTTGCTGGGCTTGGGTGTTGTTGCTGTCATCCGTTGCTGGTGTGTTTTTGGTGGCTACACTCTGGTCCCTGTATGTATTGGGTGCCCCGGGAGTGTGGCGTGGTGTGGCGGATGGGATATATCGCAAGAGAAAACTCCACACATGGGTATATATGTGGCTTTACAATGCCATTTTTTCCTCATTGCCTCTTTTCTCTCCTGTTCTCTCACTCTCTCCCATCTCTCTCGGTCACATCCACACTGTTCTCTCTCGCATCGCCACTATTTATTTGCTCATCCACTTGGCTGTGCCTCTGGAGAACGCGGCGGAAAGTTAGTTCAAATGGGTCTCCGAATGTGTGTGTGTGTGTGTGTGGGTCTGGACACGGAATGTGTCAGAATGGATAGGAGAGATGTCCTTTTCTGTCCACATATTACCAGCCCAGGGTGCTTCACACTGAGATGAATCACTTTCTGAGGTTATATTTGCAAATTACCTGCACTATATTGGCGGCAGAGCCATTGATTGGGATGTTTCTGTGAAAACTCTGCGTTAGATTTTTAATGAATGCGCACTTGAAACTTTTCCGCAACTAGGATTGTACCTTCTGAGTGTTATTTTTGAATGAAATGCAGTCTTTGAACTAGATTGCACTACGTTTTAAGATCAGAATTGATCCAGTTTCGAATTTATCAGGTTAGGTACAATAAAATCTCCAGTTCAGACGAAATTCAGAACAAGACAGTGGCTGAAAATATCTATCCAACCTACTTATTTTGATCAGGTCTTGATCCCGAAGTCTCTGAGTTGGTACCTTAGCGTGCTACCCAGACTTTTCCACTAAGGACTGATATATTTACTTAGAGTGGCATTAACATCCCATAGCCTTCTCCATTAGAAGAGATATTCGAGACAGGTTTGTTTTTACGGCGCTAGATTGTCAGTTTGCCGACCAACCGTTTTGAGATACAATTCCAGTGAAGCGTATGTTTCAACTGAAACATTAAATACCAACCATTTGAGCTGCTCTTACTTGACACTGAAAGGCTTAAGTTTTTCACATTCGGCTGTGTTCTAAGATTTACAATCACGTTGCTATAAGACTGCTAGTTGGTTACTATAATCTTACTCGAATTCTGCTGAAATGTTTGCTATTTGAAAAGCATCAAAACCAAATCAAATTTGTATTTTTTTTTCAGTAATTAAACTATATTGGTTAACTGTTCTGTTGCTAAAGACAAATTAGGGAATTTGAGTTTCGCAGAACAATTGGATCAACTTATCTGATGTGAAGTCTGAAGTGGACTTGAAGCGGCGATCCACTGAAGGAGGCGAGTCCTGAAAGGTGTTGCGTTGGTATTATTTCTCAGTGTATTTTCGGCCTTTTGTGTCCCCTCCCACTGGCGACTTCCTGGGCGCTTAAATCTCTCTAGCCCACACCATTTCGACTGAATGACATTTTCCGGAGCGTAGTGGAGGAAGCTATATTTGAAGTGTTTGGCCACTCATCAATATAGCCCAGGAGTGGCAATGGTCGAGAGAGGGCAGATAGGCGATAGGTGTTTGTGTAAGCGGGACACCATATTTATCCATTTATTTGTCCCTTCAACTATCTGTTATTGTCGATGTCTTATCCAGTGAAAGAGGACTTGAGAGATTGAGGCGTTTTTTTCTTCTTCTCTGCTATATGTGAAGTGAGAGAGACTGAGCGCGGTTCTATTGAAATGTTCATAATGTAAAATCCTAGAAATATGATCTGATGAGAGGAAAAGAGAGCCAAAATCCTGGAAAATTGTACGGTTGTGTATTGTATTTCGTAAATTACACACATAATTTCTCTGGTAATATCGCCACCCTCTGCAGAAAAAAATGTGTATTGACATGAAAGGAATTATATAGAAATGGATCTCAGAGATTTTTTTTTTTTTCATTTTTCTATCAATAGTTATTTGTCTTATACAATAAACAATAATACTTGGGGTATTTTGAGAAAGATTGGATTTCCCTTTAAATTCTTTGTTTGGGCAGAAGTTTTGAAAAGTAATGGCGAATGCAATTCATTCTATCTCAAGGTCAGTGACAAGAATGCCATTCACTGAAAGTAATTGGCATTAATTGGTAGTCGATGGTATTTTTCTCTCCTGTGTTGTCGCTTAGTTGCCATCGTGCCGACGGAAATAGGGTTTTTCTTTGCGTGCGTGTAGTTTTCTCTCTCTCTCTCTCGACTAAAATAGGCATTTAGGGTCTCTGTGCAAGACGCCATACGTATTTGAATTCTGGGCACATGATGAGAAAATAGCCAGTAGTTTTAATTGATCAGAACAAACTGACAAGTATAATAAGAGATAACTTCGATTAGATTGAATTAGAATACGTGACGAGAAGAGATGAGCGAGTGAACGAGATAATTTTTAAATGATTGCATTCACGCACTGAAGTGCAATTGAATTTTCTGCAAAAGATGATGGCAAGGCGGCAAAAATGATTGAATTACACATATTCCATCACTTTTATGCACACCATCGTGTATAGTTTCTTGCCGTTCACCGGTGAGTTTCACTCTAATGTGTCCAAAGACACACATTTATTTTAATAATATGTCATCAATATGGTTTCTTACGTGTAGAGGCACATCATATCTGGTATGACTTTTCTAAGAATTACACCCTATATAACGGCTATTTTTTTTTTCTTTCTTCATTCGTTACTTTCTTAGGATGTCTCTCTCACAGTGAGTTGCGTTGTTGGCCGCCTGTGTTATAAAACCATCCATTTCGTAATTTATTATTATTCGCTATTGAAGTCAAACAATGCATGTCATTTGCTTGTCACTAATAACCGTCCACGCTTTTCTAAATTCAATGGCCACAATTTGTTGAAATCAACCACCGTAATAGCCGCACAGACACTCATTTCCAGCACTCGCAATATATTAGGTTTTGGGTAGGCTATCGTGTCTGTGTGCAGCGCGGGAGGAAGAATGAGGAGAGTAGGTATAATTTTATTATATTGTATCGCAAAAGACGTCAACGACGACGCATGGGAAAACACACCGCACACAAAAGTTATAAACGCTCCAGAGAGCACATCAACATCACGCATTTATTTGTTCAGTTAACCAGCAATCAATAATTATTCTAATTATATGTATTTGATATGACAATTTTGGTTGTGCGCTGTTCCACTCTTGGAACTTGTGTGTGACTTTTATGCTTAACAAATTGTTTCATCCTTTGAATGCTTTTGCATCATTTTTCTAGTGTTGATTTTCCGTCGAATAACACACTGGCAGTCATTCTGTATTTCCAATAGAGTGCTGAAATAAATTGAAAAAATACTATTTTGCCGCTAAAAACATTTTCTCTATTACAGTGCTTATGTTTACTATCTGTTTTAACTCTTTAACGCTCTTTGAGAGAAATTACTCAAATATTTATGCATGATAGTAAATATATTGGATACAAATTAATCGAATCCCACTAAATGGAGTAATATTTGAGATGTGTTTTAGTAGTTTAAAGTAGTGGTTAGTATTTTGTGTCACACATGTAAGGCTTAAAATGGCGATTGTGTTAATAATTTCACAAAATTCTCCACTTGTGTTGAAAGGAAATTTGCGATTCTGGTTTTAGTGGGAAGTGATCCAAAAAAAATTTAAACTATTCAATCATCTACACAATTGTTTCTTTCCACAGATTTATCATGCAAATTGATAACGGGTCAATAAATAAAGAAATGGGAATATGCAAGTGTTAAAAACTGTCAAGAATAAGACTAATCAATACTTCTTACATGTCACTTCAATATAGTGGCGTAACATCAACATCAAACATTATATTCTCCCTGCGTTTGTGTGGCGGAATAATTTCTTCCTCCACCCGCAATATTCTGTGCTCAGGATTCAATTGAGGAATCAATTATTCTGTCCAGCGTAAAATTGTGTCATTGTGTGAAATTTGCCTTTTCTGCCCCATTAAACGGGTCAATTTTTCTCCTCGCCATTCTCATTCTGCACACACATAGTGATTTGGGGTCGTTTGGAAATAAGCATGTGTCGTGGATGTTTTATCGTGTGCTGTTGATGCAATTCCGTTTGTGCTGCGAATGAGGAAAAATCGCCACCCCCTCGAGGTGAATGCTGTTCAATATGGTTATTTTGCGAAAGAAAATTGAGACAACTGCACAATTGCATGAGTCACAATCATTTTCACTCTCGCCTCGCAGGAGCACAATTGAGATTCACCCTCTGCGTTTGCGGGGGTTGAAGAATTGTCTCTCACTCTTTCTCGCTGTGTAAATTTAAGCGTGGAGATTGACTTTTCAATCGCGACCTTCTTTTTTTCTTCTTCTATGCACACCGCGGAATGAATGGGAGTTAATGCGACAAAATCATGAGCGTAAAATAGAATCAGAACGAGAAGTGGAAATTGATATGAATCATCAAAGAGAGGCCAGAAGGTGTGGAGGTATTTTGTTGGGTGGTGCAGAAAATTACTCACTTTTTCAACCCCCCGCGTGCCAATCATCTCTCTCTCTCTCTCTCTCTGGGTCTGGTGCGCATCGCAGTACTCACAGTTTGTCTATTCCCATCGAAAAGCCACTTATCTTTAACACCATATAATAGGTTTATTCTCCTTCCCGTTCAGTGCGCTGTCGAATTTTTTTTTTTATTATTATTGTCTCGTGTGTTCCCATGTTCATGACATGTATGAAAATGCATATTTCGGTGGTATCATACAAATGACTATATAGGTGTGGCTTCCGTTTAATACCTACTTAATTATAATATAGAGAGACTGATGGTGAAGAAGGTTGAGTTGGGAATAAAAAGAGAGTGTGTAAATTTCATGAGGGGTGACCTGTTGGGAATCGGTGACAAAAAGGTCTACTTCACGCTTCACTATCACTCAATATTTTGACAATAAATTACTATTTTAACCTCTTGTGTCACTTTCAACTTATGGGGATACTTTTTCACGATGTGCCCGTAATTAGTCATTGACAATTGAGCGTGAAAAATTAATGCAATATGCTCAAGACCTTCGCGCTAGGTGGAGAGCAGAGAAATTGGTTTCTTTGAACTGCTAAAGAAGCAGAAACCACCTTATTTTGTTCATTTCTTTCGGTTTTCTGGCTGAAGTAAAAATAAGCAAAGTTCAGCAAAGATTTTTGCATTTCTTTTACTTAAATAAGATCGACTTAAAAATGATTCCAAGATTTCTAACCTGATCAGCATAAGGGATAATTTGTCCGTTACGGAGAAGACAGGAATAGAGAAATCTAACTGCTTTTTTTTTAGAAATTATTACGGCCTGTAATTTCTTGTGATTAAAAACTAATACATTTGACCAATAAAAGGAAGAATTGAAAGTGTGAAATGCAAGTAAATAATTTTTTCTTTGGTTACACATTTTTCTCAACGGTCGTTAAAGGGTTTAGAGGTCTGTTTTGACTATTCCTTCCGTAAAATCCAATGCGTTTCCCGTATTTTTCCTTTGACAATTTTGCTGTGGCAAAATTACATGTGATCATGTCAGGGAGATTGCTGAGCGAAAGGACACAAGTTGCTGGTTGCAAATAAAACTGTCCTGCAGCGCAATTAAGGGGTCCTGCATGAGTCATAGGACATTATCTCAATTTGTGGGTGGTGTGGGTGGATGGCGATAATAAATATGTTTTCGGAAGTTGGGGTGTGAGTGGCATTGTGACTCCGTGGGTGAGTAAACTGTTGTCTGTGCGAATTGCCACGGAGGGTTGCATGTGCGAGAGTCCTCGGCGAAAGGATGATTTAGCTGTGCATCTCCCGCCACGACGCACTTTTCTCCCCACACCTCCGAAATGTATCTATTTTGGTTGTGTTGTGCACGCCGATTTTCTAAGTGCCATGTGCCATGACCATAATAGTTTGACTCCGCGCGCTGCCTTCGCCGAGATGTGCGTGCATACAATTTCAGAAAGGGTGCAACGCTTCATTAAATTTATTTGCCAAATTGAATGAGCGAGCGAGAGAGCCAAAGGATGCCCACAGCCAAATATATACACACACACATACGCATCAGAGACAGGACAATTGATAAGATGTGTTTTTCCCGCAACGGAGAGGAGGAAAAAGTGTCAATTGCGTTGCGTAAGGCAATGTTATTAAACAAATTGAAGTCAATGGGGGAGTGGATCGGAAGGAAGTTGCAAAGATATCACGTGGCTTTCTCAATGATGCCCTTCCCGGGACAATTTGCAGCGCACATTTTTGCCCGGGGGAGTCTTTTGAATGTCATCTCTTATAGTGGAAAACCAAATCCGATTCACTGTGCATTTGTTGGGGTGCAAATTGCATATTATTATATTGAAAATAATACATTAGTAACTGGCAGAGATCCGGATTCTTTACAAAATGCTGACGCTGTAATGGCCTGCAAATGCAGGACTTTGTGAAGATCCTTTTGAATATTGTATCGTCTCAAGGGGGGAGATTATATGATTGCAAATCTGTACAGCACGTCGTGGCACTTTAAAAACTTGCATTTTTAATGTGGTTTACATATCACTTCTCAAGTTATGATAAATATCTCAAGATTCGTTAAGGATGCAAAGAAATATGCTAATTTTATAGAAAAGAATCAGTCAGGAACACTCAAACTTCCTTAGAGCGATTACACACGTGCGGGTTATCCTCGAATCAATGCAAAGTGGGATTATTCCTCTGTGGATGAACTTGGAGTGTGTAAAGGTAAGATCATCCACAAATCATGGCTGCTCTGTCACCGTTTCACACTCAAGGGTTAATCTCCTTTGTCGACGATAGCGACAATTTTGAGCGCGCTGCCGTCGGAGAGCCCGAAAATACTGGGTGATCCTTCGATATATCGAAGAATGATCCGCGATTCAGCGCTCAACCAGCTGTCAGTCGTTCTCACTTGCGCTCTAGCTTATGACAATAATATCTCCCCCTTGTATTGTCTATAGAACTGAAAGATTCACTGCTAGAATTTAGAAAAATGCTTTCCATATTGAATGATTCTTATATTGTGAGGTTATTTGATCAATTATCTCAGTTCATGGCCTCAATTATGGAAAGTCTTCACGACGAATTGATGGAATATAGATGGTGTTTAATGTTCCTCCAGTTGCCAATTGGCATCAAATTTCTCTCAATGAAGTGCAACTCAATCTTTCCTTTATTTTTTCCCTTGTGTCCACATCAATTTACTCTCCAGCTTTGGCATATTGTGAGAATTGTTGGTTTTGTCTTGGAGGAATTTTCACTTCAGAATATTCGTCGGTCAAAATGCGGGGCGGAGAGAGACAGAGAGCGAGTGGGTGGCTTGTGCGGGGTGGAGGGTTGAGTTGGAGGATGAAATATCATTTTGAATGTGTGTCTGTGGCAGGATCATTTGGACAAACTGAGTCCTTGTCACGCGCATCACCAATTGCTCAAATCGATTTTTATCTCCTCTTTTGTGTGTGAGTTCCGCAAAAAAGGATGGCAGAGTGGAGAGAAAAGGAGCAAAGAATGTCCTCGGAGGAAATTTCTTCGCCCCCAAAAGATGGTATAAAGAGAAAGGCGAGAGAGATATGAAAATTTCATCTTGCGACTGAAAGTTTGTCGATCGGAGAAGATGGGAAAATTGCTTCCATAAGTTTTCCACCAGAGTATATAAAAAATTTGTATGTATTTCGCATATATATAAAATGGGGATTTTTCCTTTTGGGGGAAGATGTCAACCACACCCTCACAATTGACGCCTTGGCTGTAAAACCTCACCTTTTCTGGAGAGAATCTCTCGCTGAATCTCCTGAATCCCCAAATCGATGCTTATTTTGACTGTTTGGCATTTTCATGAATTGCTGATTAAGCATTCGGGTTTCCCACTCACAATTTCATTGACATTTCCACGGGTGAAATCAAATACTATGAAATGCCGTTTTTACATAGATTACGCCGTAAAATTGTCTCATACTGCAGTCATTCGCATAAAATGCTTCTTTTCTTAACATTCTAAGGGAATTTATCGCACTACGTTGATGTGTCGATAAATTCTTCTCGATGTCGACACTTATCGATAGGAATTATCGGAAACTTAATTTTTTTTTTAACACGATTAGAATGATTAGAAGTTGTTTGAGACAAAAAAAAACGGCAAATTTCGCAGTGATATTAATACGAAATTTTCAACTCGCTTTCTTGAGAAATAGTAATTTCGATTTTTTAATTGTTTCCAATTCACTCGTCAAAATGCAGGCTCGCAGATCTTGCTGTCCTATGTTTAGCAGACACTTTCCTATCTCTATTTGCTCAGTGAAGGCATTTCTGCAATAAGTCATTATTTTCCTCCATGACGTCTCATTGGTTGAATTTTCTCGCGTGGTATGACATCGATCCTCCTTGGAATATTTCCACATGCCGTGCTTTTTTCTCACTGATCATTTCATTGTCTCTCCTTTATTGTCTCTTTTTCTCTCTCCACTTTTTTTTTCTCTTCGATTTTTATTACAAGTGTGCTTCCTTTTTTCCGCGCGCCCCATTCTTTTTGGGCCTTTTTGCACCTCATTTTGCTCCTTCTTTCGCGTCGCGAATTCCGCGCGACTTTTGAAAATATAGGCGCCATTTGAAGGGAGACTTTGTGTGTGATTCCGCATTTTGTATTGGCGAATTGGTCGCGTTGCTTCATTTCCTCCTTTTATCCTCTCTTTAGCATTTTATCTTTGACGAAAAATTCCATAGTCGTGCGGCTTGGTGTCCCCGTCATGTGCAATTGGCGAGGAAGAAGGTGGGGATGTTGAAAAATCAATTGGCGATTTTTCTGAGAATTGCCCTTTTTTCTCTCCACTATATCGCCTTTTTCCCATTTTGCTTAATTAGTCTTTGGCGATGTGAGGAGGCAAAGAAGAGAGGATTAACAATTCCTCTTGAATCAATTATTTGCTGTCTCTTATAGTCATTGTATACGGTGAGGCATTGTTTTTGCTGCTGCTGCTTTTTCATTCCAATATTCATACAATTGATTTTAATTCCTCAGCAATTCAATACATTCTTCTGGCGCCTCTTACAGCTGAGCTTTCAAATGACGCGGTTTTATAAGAGTTTCAACTTACTTTTTCCGTTGGCGAATGCCCGCCAAAGCTCGTTGGAGAGATTTGTTCAAAAAACTGGAAGCTTTTCTCCTGCCTAACGTCAGCGCCTCTATCGGGAATTTTAGCTTTGCGAAGTGCTCCGAAATGTAGTCAATTGTGAGAGTGTAAATAGATTGTCAACAAACGTAAACATAAACACGTGCGAAGAAGGTGAATTGTGTCGAAAATCTCTCATGATTTAGCAGGAAAACATCTAATTGGACCCCAATTTTCCAGATGTCTGACACCGAGGATCAGCGTGTCTTTGTCTTCCCGGGAGACGAAGTGAAGGAAGCTGTGGAAGCCAGTGCAAAGCGAAAAGTCATCATTGGACCAGGACTTCGGGGGAAGCTGAAAGAGAACCTCATCCTGGCGACGCGGGGCGGTGAATTGTGTGCCAAGAGGAGCACTACCTTTCTGGTGAACAGCTTCCAGAAGCGCTACGTGGCTGCGAAGGGCGACACTGTGATTGGCTATGTCATTGGCAAGTCGACGGACACATTCCGGGTGGATATTGGCGGCAGCGAACCAGCCTCGCTGTCCTACTTGGCCTTCGAGGGGGCGACGAAGCGCAACAGACCCGATGTTCACGTCGGTGACATCCTGTTCGGGCGTCTCGTGGTGGCCAGTGGAGATTTTGAGCCGGAACTCGTGTGCCTGGACTCGACGGGACTGAAAAAGGACAGATTTGGCGTTCTGCCCACGGATGGATTTGTGTTTGAATGCAGCATAAATCTCTGTCGGAAGATGCTTGATGAGAAATTCCCGCTAACCAGGGCGCTGGCCAAGGAGTATCGCTTTGAGCTGGCCGTGGGCATCAATGGGCGGATTTGGGTGCGTGGACACAATCTCAGGCAGACAATTGGGCTGTGCCATGCGATTCTGGGCGTGGAGCACATCCCAAGGACGCAACTGGAGGATTACTGCAGGAATATTACAGGCGAATTGGCGGGATTTTGAGACACAATTAAAGGTCCAACACTTTCAGTACTCGTGAGTTGTGTAGTGCGCAAATCGTGCCATCTGGGGTTGCAGCAACTTTCAAAATATTATTGATAGAAGAGAGGAGATTTCGTAAGTGGAAGAGAAAATTGATTTTCCCCACGTTTCCACCCGTGGCATCACTGTTGGCCCTCTTGCAGGTGATTGCGCGGACGATGAAGTCCTTCCCACGGCGTGTGGTGTTCCTGAAAGTGCAGAGGTATTTTGTGCACCATCTGAAGAATCGATCGGACAGCATTTTGAGGTTATGGATGGATCAGTGCGAGTACATTCTGTCGCAGCGCCTTCGCCGGGGCCAGCAGATGCTGTCGCTGTACACGAAGATCTGTGGCGATGCGGAGTTCCGGGAGCTGCTCAGTCGCCTGCGTCGTCATGTGCAGCGCCACGCGAAGGGCATCATGATGGGCGCCGCGTTGTTCACGTTCAACTGGAATGAGGAGCGAATCACACTGGAGTCCGTGCGGGAGCACTTTGAGGGCATTGACTTCGTGGAGGAGTTGAAGAGGTCAACACTCATCTGCAAGAAGTGCTACAAGCGCCGCGTGATTGACAAGAAAATCGATGGCATTGACTATTGCCTCTGCGGCGAGGCGCTGAAGCGGTGCTCCGGCGATTGGGAGCCGTATTTGGAGCGCGGCAGCATGATCATTTGGCGGCGTGCACAGAAGTGCGGCAAGTTCGCGTACAAAGTGTACGGCGAGTATCCAGATGTGTCGGCCGAGGACTTCCTGCACGTGCAGACGGATCTGGAGTACAGGCGTGAGTGGGACTCCACGGCGATCGCGCTGGAGCTGATTGACACGGACATCTCGCCCGGATCCAGCAGTCATGTGATCTATTGGGAAATGCTGTGGCCGGTGAGTGATAAGTATTATCGGGGGCTTTTTTAAATTTAGCAGCAGCGCGCAGACCGCAGTTGACACTGCATAATTCACTCTCGCCGGGCGATTAATTGCGTAATTCATCAATTGGGAGCTCTGAAGGTGATAAGAGAAGTAAAAATACATTCAGGTTTGTTATTCATTCTCACGCTATCAGTGGGCGACGAGCGTGATTTCTCCTGTGAAAATATTTTGCTACACTTGTTGATGGGCAAAAATGAGAAAAAGAAAATTGCATATCAGCAACGGAATTATGCTAAAATCGCCCTATTTTATGAATAAAAATAAGCAGAGTCGTTAAATACAGAGTCATTATAACGATGCGGTAAAACAACATGGAAGAATAGGGCAATTTTAGCATAATATCGTTGCAGGAGAAAAAAGGAAAAGTGGAGGAAATATGCTTTTCCTCTATAATCCACAATCGAAAATATGTTGTGAAATTCAATGCTAAATAGTTGTCATTTTACCTGATCCACAATACAGAAACTCTTCGCCAATCGCGATTACGTGTACAATCGCCGGACGTTTGTGGACAAGAAGCGCCAATTGATTGTGATTGCCAATCGGAGCACGCAGCATCCGAAATGTCCGGCCAAGCCGACAAATCAGCGCGTGTCGGATTACTGGAGTTACATGGTTATCAAGCCGTATAAGTCCTTCGGACGTCCAGGACTCAAATTCGTGCTTACATACTTCGATGATCCGGGAATTGTGATGCCACCGGCGCTGACTTCGTGGGTGGCGCGAAAGCAGATGCCTGAGTTCCTCAATAAACTCTACAATGCCACGCTGAAGTATGCGCAGAAGAGGCGCGACGAGGAAGTCGAGGCCATCAACAGACTGTACTCGTACGAGAAGCTCCGTGATCCCGGATACGAATATCCGCCGGATCCGGAGGTGAAGGAGAGCAAGAGGGACGACAAGCCGTCCTCGTCGACGTCTTCTGGTGGCGAGAGACACTCCATACTCGAGGAGGCCGACGAGGAGCCGGCGGAGGGCGACCAGAAGAGCAAATCGTGGTGGAGATTCTTTCATCCCTACTATTATTTCGCCTAGGCAAAAAAAAACATGCTCATGACAAAGCGCTAGCGTAGTGAATAACAGAGAGTGAATGATAATAAGGCATTGCATTTGTGAAAAGTAGTGTTGATTAGAAATGTTGTTTCAGCTGTTTGACTTCGAGCCTTTCGAAGTGGCAATTAAATAAAAACATCATTTTATGGTTTAAACTTGAGAGTTATTTTCTTTTTCATCTTCATCAAATCGTAAACAGATTTTGTCACAAAACACTTATCTTCATGTCATTTTGTTACATGATCGCCTTTTTTCTATTTTATCTTTTCCTCAACAAAGAAGAGAAAATAATTGAATATCAAAAAGAAAAAGATGTTTTTACATCCTTTTGTCACTAAAGAAAATTTGATAAATTTGTATTAAATTTGTATAAAATCTATTAACGCGAATTTCAGTGTCGAATATCTTCTCTTCGATGGAAGTTTTAAATTGTAATTTATAAGGAGGTAACATTAAGTTGTAGAGAAGATTGCTAAAGAAAAAAATACTACAATTAGAGAAATATTAAATCTGTGTACAAATTGGTTTTACAATCTTTTACAAAAATATAAATATATATATATATATATAGATTTCTTTCCCAGTAATTTTAGGGCCAACATTTTATTATGTGAAAATTGATTTCTCTCTTTTTTTCTTTTAATTTGTGTAACCAAAACGTTACAGAAAAACATTTTCTCGCCCCGTCAACAAAAGTGTATTTTTATCGTTTCTTTTTATTTGTAAATTCAAAAATCATTTCGCAATATTCGTGGCGTGTTAGTCCTTTTTATCAAAGTCCATATCACGTTGAATGAATATTATGTGTAGTTACTTTAACAACCTCTTCTCTTTTTTTCCTTTCTCTTCGTTAACATGCGCTATAATTATACTCTTCAATTAAATATTTACCCTAATATGTTAATATTTGTCTTTTCATTTTTAAGTGCCACAATATCAGTCGTTCTGCCACATTTGCATGCTCTTACTTATACGATTTATATTCTTCATGTTATCAATATGAAGGACACAAGAATGGAAAAGAAACTTTCTTAAGCCTATAAAAGTTGAGAAAATATCTCGGCACTTTTTTCTCTCTCTCTAAAATTTATCATATAAATCTTCATTATTAGGATCACTTCTGTCTTCGCTAATTGCACAATTTTGGCGAATATTCGTGGTTGAGAAACAAATAATTAAGAAACAAACAAAATAATAATATTATTGTTTACTACAAAAAATTGATTCTAACCAAAGGTAAATAAAACAACAAAAATAAAAATTATAAATTACTCATAATAAAATAGTTTTTTTTTTAGTGTGCCACTAATATGGAATGGTGCCTACACAAATCAATAAAAAATACAAGATAATTAATTGTAATAATAAATCATTCAATATAACATTGAATATTAATAATTCTTTAAGTAAATAATTCATGAAAACGAATATTTTAATAATTAAATGCACATTCTATCCTTATTTCGATGCAGGTTTTCTATCCCTGAAGACAAGTTGTAAACACTAAACAAGGATGTTTCTTTTTTTGAAAAAAATATTATGCTAGCAATTTAAGTTTCTCTCTCTCTCTCTCTCTCTCGTCCATGTTTTCCTCTCTGGCTGTTAAGTTAACAATAAAAATTCTCTATGAAATGCACCAAATCAGGGCATTTTAGGACAGTATTTACATCTTATATTGCACACTTGTGGAATTGGATTTTCCTCCTCATTTCAGGACATGAACAATGCTTGTGTGACAGCGTGTGTGTGTGTAAGAGAGAGAGAGAAGGTTTAGGAAAAGACTGGGATACTTTTCCGGCACATCTTTTCACCCTTCTCGAAATGGTATTCGTAAAAGTTCTCCTCATGGTTTTGTACATTTATACTTTTTTTTAATATAGTCTTTGCCTACGATAATTACTAATTCTTTCTCAATATTCTTCTTTTTTTTTACTTTTATAGATTATATATTAATAAAAAAAAACACTCACACACAAATGCACTCAATGGAAAATGCAGAGAAAAATGTTACATTGCATTGTAATTAAAAAAAAAAATCTGCACTTCTGTCAAAAATTTCCCCCACTAAATACAATATATTCAATTGAATATAAACTCTCCTTCACTTCTTCTGATTCTGCCGATTGATGAGAGCCTGCAGTTTGGCCAGCTGATTGAGGAGATTGGCATTGGAGCCCTCGAGTGTCTCCACGCGCTTTCTGTAGTCAGAATTCTCAGAGACAAGAATCTCCACCTTTCTCTCCAGCTGATCCATGTACTCCTTCTTTTTTCGTCGACTCTCCTGGGCGGAAATCTGGCCGGAATTATGCAAAATTGTTAAGATTTTGTTGATCACATAATAATTGTACAAACTTCTCACTTTATTCTTGATTTTCCTTCTGATCTTCTTCAGTGACTTCTCTTCGGCTTTCGTGAGCGGAAGACGCGTGGGAATGGGATATCCTTCGGCTAACAGCGTTCGCTTCTCCTCCTCAGTGAGAATCAATGTCCCAGTCGATCCCTTCTGAAATGTCAGATATGCAAATTAGCACCAAAAGTGGCTAGAGATAGAAATCCTCGCAAGATCTTGACATTTCTAACATCAAAATGAATCTTCCTAAAGATCTGAATAGTGTCTTGAACATGATTTTAAAGTACTTGATTTCACTCATTGTGTCTCTTGGAATATTGTAAGTTTTTTTCTAATAATACTTCCGCTGATCTGTACACCACTTCTGGCTGTATTATCTCTCCCTTGTATGAAATAGCAAGATCTTTTGGCTGCGGAATGAAGGAGCAAATGTCTTACTGGTTGGCTGCTGATCAGCGGTGTGTGGATGGGCTGGCGCGTGCTGACTCCTGAGTAGATCTTGGAGGAGTTGGCGACCGTGGCCGCCACGGCGGACCGTCTGGTGGTGGCCTGCAGGGCTGGCGCGTTCTGAGGCGACATGGGCGCCCCGTGGTGATCCGGACTGAGGTTGCCTTCTGAGTCGTCGCTGGACAGCGACGAGGGCGGTGTGGGCGGGAGACCGAACTGCGCCTGGGCTTCCATCTTCACGTTCAGCTTTGGCATCACTAATCTCTGATTGACCGGCTGGTGTGAAGCTGCGATCTGGTGACTCTTCAGCAGGCTCTGGGACGCGTGTGACAGCTGAAGTGAGCCATTCTGAAAGATTCCATTGTCCTGTTTATTATCTCACTTCTACTAAACAGAATCTCTTCTTCCTTACTTTGTGCTCAAACACGAGGTCTGTGTTTGTGATCGCGGCCATATTTGAGAGGCTCGCGTTTATCGTTGTCGCGACAGACTCGCCTGGACTTGGCGGATTGCTGGAGCTCGCCGGTGACATGGGTTCATCCTTGATCGCATGATCATCGATGTCCAGATCATCTGACAGCGAACTGGCACCCGATTCTGAGTCATTGCTGCAGTTATTCTGGATGGAGCTGATGAATTGGGGATTCGCTGAACGATAGTGTGTCGTTCGTGTGCTTAAAGCTGCTGTGTTCATGGTTATGGCAGGATAACACTCATCGTCCATGTCTGCAAAGGACAGCCAGTTATCGCACTATTATTTCATTCTTATTACCATTATTGATAAGGGGAGTTGAATACAATTAGGAAAAATGATTTTCCTGTATTTATTCACTCGTAGTCACGCTTTTCGCCATAATAGAGTTCAGCATGTGACCGATAAGGCAAAAAGTGTTCTTCTTCAACTATCTTTTTAATGGGCAATTTCCGTGGAAAAAGGCGCTTTATTATTTGGTCGTGTGTTTATTAGTCAAGAGGCTGTTGTTGAAATTTTGAAAACAATTTTTTTTTTATCACATTTTCATTTGTTATGCTTGTTGCCATGAAAATTACTAATAGTTTAAACACGTGGGAGAGAAAAATGTCGTGTGTGTACTTTATTGGGTCACACATTTCGATTGAGGTGTACAAAATGTGAGTTACTGATCCCGTGGTGCAGAGATGATTGCTTGTTTTGTGGTCCAATAATCCAAATATATCGATGATAACTCTCTTTGCCGCACAGTGCCGTCGATTAATATGGTTGTGATGGGAAAAAAACACACAGAGATTATCCAAGATATCAATGAGAAAGAGGTGAAATTTTAATCGGCACGCCACTGTCAACACATATTTAACATCTTTCTCAAGCGCCAAAGAGAGTTGGGAGCAAATTTCTTCACATCGCGGGCATATATGCTCAGCAAAGTGAAGGAGATATGGTGGTTATTTAGTCAGGTGCACTTGATTGAGAACGGGGAAGGAAAATGTGTGCGGCCCCGAAAGCACATCTCTCTAATGATTTCCCAGAAATATGAAACTTGTGCAAATAGCAAATATTTCGTAAAGAAAAATTTCTGCGTCACTTGAGCAGCTTTGCGAACTGAATTGTCTTGAGAGATTTTATTACGCCATCAAAATCCTCACCATCCATCTTGTTGTGTAGACTTCCTGGGGAGTCTGGCAAGGAGTCTCCGTCGGAGTTGAGACTGTAGGAGTGCTCGGTTTTGATGGGGAATGTCCCCAGGGCGTCTGTCATTAGTTTGTCGTGCAGAATCACCTGTGGCATCTTTATGTCCTTGTCCAGGTACCAATCGCTGAGTTCTGGGTCGCCTGAGGACAATTTTAATGCGTCCTGCATTGCCTGGAAAGGAAGGAGAGAAAGTGGGAATTGTTAAGTATTCTCTAAATATTCTCTTCGTCTTGCGCAGTATTCAGAACGTTCAGAATCCACGCCTCAAAGCCAATAAGATTATAATGTATGTAATGGCGTATCATCATCCATGCTAATGAAACTTCTCAAAAAGTGGCCAATGACCTCTCTGAGAATATTTGGTAAAAGTTGGCAATTTTCTCACTATGTGAGAGATTCGTTGTCTTTTTATGAACTTGCCGTTTTTTCTCTTCTCTTTCCCTACACAAATATTCCACACACAAATACACACTGGGAGACACACAGTTGATGGAAAGAGGCGCGCAGAAAAGAACGTTCAAGGAGAGAATGCATAAGTAAAAAAAAGAAAAATGAAACGCACCTGAGTAAAATGTGAAAGAGAGAGGTGAAAATATTCTAACGGGACGGAATTCTTTGGTAAATGAAGCCGTATCGTGGAATTTCTTGCTCTTTTATACATATACAATTTTCTTGCAAGTGATTTCTTGAAAAGAAGCCTAAAGAGGAATGGGAAAACAAAACAACACAAGACATACACCTTCCTTCCATCTCGGAGGTGAGGCAAATGAGATTTAAATATCAACACTGAATCAACTTTATTCCTTCCATCACAATAAATTATTCGCGCACTTTTCCATGTGCTTTTCTTTTGGATTGACAAGAGAATAAAAAAAAAATGTCATCTCTGAAATAATGTGAAAATACATGATTTTACCATTGAGCGCAATTAATGGGAAATTTTGCGAGTGTATAAAAGACGCAGAAGAAGATGGAAGTTAAAGATAAAAGATTGTCCTTGACATTGGTGGATATTTTTTCGCTGCGTAGTTTCCAATGTCAATGTCCGATGAAAGAGAAAGAGAGGGAGACTGTCGAGAGAGAGAGAAAGATCGACCTAAAGCATATAATATGATGACCAATGTTTGCTCTTCGAGCAAAATAAAACACACACGCAAATCAATGAATAGGAGGTTACACACCTCGCTGATTTTTTGGGAAGTGCCTCTGGCTTCAGCTCTGCCAAAGAGCGTGTGTATTTATGTCGGTAGATGTTCCGGCAGAAAGGAATGATTGCCCACTTGAGATATGTTAAACTTACGGAGAATTGTATCTGTCAATTGGTGCTAATTTCTAACGCCAATCCCTGTTCGAACGCAATTTGCTAGCGAGCAAGCGTCTTGACTTGAAGGAAGCTTTTCATTGCACCATTAATATCTGAAAATGTGGCCGCGGGACACCGGCTTAAGAATGTCTATGAGTCACACGAAAGAAATCTGCAAATTTACAGTATGCAGAGAGAGAGAGAGAGAGAGAGAGAGAGATAAGATATTCAAATATCGATCGATGTTGTAAGTCAGGACATGTGATTTCTGCATGTAAGTCGCATCATCCGTGGATTGCGAGGCATTTGAGTGCGGAGAAGGGACAGAAAGTGTAATTTCAAAGCCGGATATTGTAACTATATGGATGTTATACTATTAGATTGGTGTGGGTTTGTAGAGTCTCACAAGAGTCTCGCCGCATTTAGAGAGTGAGCGTAAATAGTAGAAGCCTTTCATTCAAGAAACTCAACTCTTATATGCCAATGTGTTGTTTTTGCATTGTAAAAGAGAATGGATTTTATTGGCTGAGATTTTTTTTTCTTATGCTTCACCTCGCTTCTTAGAAGTATGAAGAAATACACAATTGTAGGTGGAATTTAGGTTAAAAGTAGTGAGAGAATAAGAGGCAAAGACAGAGAGGAGAGAGAGAAAGAGAGAAATTAGTTTAGGGAATATGAATTAATAAATAAATACATATATTGAGTATTTCCTAAGCAGGTAATAAAGTTATTAATTTTCAGTTATGCTGCGGTTTGAGATTCAGTGGTCCAAAGAGTGGAATTTTGACTTTGTCTTCACCTCCTTTCCTTCAATTATTATATATTACTTCTTCTTTTTTCACAGCATGATCGCAGCTTATGTAGTGCTTCTCTCTCCCTCTCGTTCTGTCTCGAAGATCCAATGATGAGAATGATAAATAAGCCTTAGGCTATGAATACCGTAAAGAGACTCTTGGCCAAAAATCTTTCAATTCCGTTATACTTAATCATTGGCTGGTACATGCTTACAAAAACAATTTTAAGAATCACACGCGTACTCTATCGATGGAAGTCAATATCATGGCGCGAGTGAGTGAGGCTGTGAATTCTGGGAATAAAATTGAGTGTGTGGCTGAAGAGAAAGCGAAGGCAGAGAATTCTGTGCTCAACTCTTGAATTTGTTTCTGCTAAATTATGGGGTCGTTGCGACTTTAGATCCAAAATGTGCATCATTGATAGTGTTCTGCTCTTCTAGCAGAAGAATCGCGAGCGAGTTTGATCGATTTTGCTTTTGCCAAAAGAAAGTTAAGCATGTCGTAAAGTAGAAAGTGTGGACTATTTCTCATTAATCAATAAGTAATTGCTTTATAACAAAGACAACGGACAAAAAAAAGCGACAGAGAATATGACTAAATACGTAATGCGGGCAATTTGCATAACACTTTTATCGTCACTCTCTGGGTGTTAAAGTTAGTGAAAATGCGAAGAAGAAAAAATGATTGTGCGGTGATTGATGGTTTATGAGGAATTGTCTTGTTTGCTCAAAGGTGTTTTAGAACCAGTCAAAGTTTATATTCTTCTGGCCAAAATACTGGTACAATTGAGGTCACAATTTCAGCATTCTTTCGTCTGTCCAGAGATGCCTTTTTTGCATATATATATGCACAAGTTTTTTTTTCTCCTCTCTCAATTCCTGCCACATTTCTTTCCCGCCACAATTTCTTTTTGCGCGAACTTTTTCTGCGCGCACTTACCTTCGAATTTTACCTGACTGGAAATGTTAAACGTCAATCATTGCTGCCGCGCGAATAGCGTTGGGGGCAAAAGAGTATGGCTTTTTTCGCCGTGTGTCCACAGTGAGCGCGCAGAGAGAAGATTAAAATGAGTATTAAAAAGTTTTTTGGTGGCGAAGAAAAGAAACGCTTGTGTGCAAATTTGTGTTCCATTCACTTTTGCGCCAACATATCTATACACATACTTCAAGCCCAAAATGTCAGGAGTGACTAAAAGAGCGAAATTTGAAGGTTCAACTTTTCGTCGTCTTCAAAAATCTGGCCTCAAGTCTCTTCTCATGTATAGCATTCTTTATATAAGATGAAAAATGTATGAGAGCAGTTTTTCCTCTTTGCCAGGGGAATTGTGGAAGAAGTTCTGCATGCGTGTGTTAGACATTACTTCTTGCCCTCTTTAATTACCATTAAATTAGTGTCTCACCATTGTGGCGAGAGATGGAAGAACAGTGTCTTGAGCATCAGCAGAATTTCCGTTAAGCACAGACCCGATAATTTGCCCTGCTTCTTGATTTCTTCATCAAAACATAACTGACAAAAGAGAGACTGCATGAGACGTATTTCATATGAAGTTTCCCATTGAGTATTGTTCACTGGAAAAATAACAGGTATTTTACAAATGTATAAACTTCTTTCCATTGATAAGGGAAATCTCGTTTCACTTTTTATCAACAACGAAAAAAAAAACACTCTTCCGACAATTCGTCATTTCAGTATCTCCACTTGATGGTGAGTAATTAATTAATTTCGGTTAGATTGAGGTGAAAATTCATCCTTTCCGGAAATCACAAATTTTTTTGTTCTGTTGTCTTTTATGTGACAACACACTTGAATTTTATGTATCAAAGTCTCCAGGAACACATGGCTTTGACGAAGTTGTAGAGAATGAAGAAAAAGAGCGTGAAATCATTTCCAGTGAGAGAGAGAGAGACATTTTGATAAGGGAATTTCACTCTGGAAATCTTATCACAAAGCATTACAATGGCAATGAAAAATTCCTACGATGTTGGAAGTCAATTTATATATTATTCTACTATTTGCCGCGCACATTTTTTCTTCTTGACGAATTGTTATTGAGGTGACGTCTTCCAGGTGGTCCGAAATATGCTCAATTTTTCTGTTTTTAAGCATGTCACACTATCTTTAGTCAGTTAATTTCTCAATGTCGCCTTCCGTTGGAAAGCCACACTGTTGGTGTTGTCAAGCAGTGATACAGAATGTGTGTTTCATTTCACTTGCAATATATAGTTTGTAGGTTCTTGAAAGCCACCGCAAATTAATTACTCTCTCTCTCTTTCGCTCCACGCTGGAGTAATAAGAAAAACTTGCCTTATATCGCCTAGTCTGTTATGCAATGGGCGAATGAAAGCCGGTGATAAGAAGCAAGCAGTGAAATGTTTGCGATTAGTCATGTGTATTAAAAATCAGCAATAGTGCGGTGAGTCTATCTGGCTATTTATCTGCCTATTGAGCAAAATCCTAATCAGTGCTTATCAAGATGTATTTACACACGCGATTTCTCATGATAAAGAAGAGAGTATTGCACTTCTTTGGGTGAATATTTCAATGTCATGCCATCATATTTACATAATAGTTTTTTTCGATACACGGCAAGGACGCATTATGCACAAATCATGCTGTATACATAATATTTACACTTGCCAAGTGTGGAATTTCAGCACTTGAAGACAGCAATTTTAAATGATTTCGTGTGGTAGAGAAAAGGAAAATCCTCTCTAATCAATATTGAAATTTCTACTTGAACTCTCAGCGGCTGAAAGTTCAACCATATTTCAATGCTCATCATATTTAAAGCACTTTTTTTGTGCTTGGCTCACGAGCAACTTTGTCGTTTCTATGCCATGCAAAATGTTGATTGGTTTGTGCTGATATGCAAAATTATGGTGGAGGTATTAAAGAAAAAATTGCATTGACTTATCATAATTCCACACACACACACACACTTGCGCACCGTCTTAAATGCTCAAGCACGCGATAATGATCAATTAGATAAAATTGAGTGCCACTACATAATATAAAAAAGCCCAGAGGAATTTTTCGCCGCAAATTGTGTGGCAAAAAGGTGTGCGCGAGAGGGT